GTTCACAACCTCTTGAGGTGTGGTATACACACGCGAATGATCATCGCCCGCAATGGTTTGACACATTTACATTATTTAAGCCACATCAAAGTATAGATTGTGTAGTTTTGTTGATAATAGTAACTTATCATCTTTTCTATCACATAAACTACTTCAAGTTAAAATCTTATCAAACTTTCTTGTCAAAATACTGTAATATATAATCATTTATTTCCAAGAGGTCAAATGTACTAGATCAGAAGATAGACCACATGTGTTCAAAATGTCAAAACAATAAGCGGATTTGATAAACATTTGATGGTGTTTCTCGGGAGGGATACACTATTTTCAACCCTTGCTGAGTTTAATATGTTTAGTTCTTTACCGTTTATTTTTAAACTTCGACATATCTAAGTAGCATGCAGTTTTTTCCATTATAGTGTAAATATTGTATCTATTACTAAAAACATATCTAAATGCACTGAAACTGGGATACGAGAGAGAGAGAGGGGGGGGAGGGAGGGGGAGACAGAGACTGAGACAGAGACAGAGCGACAAGGAGAAATTATGATGTATGCTGGTGGTTAATACACAAAAAGCTATTATGCATGTTAGTCATTAATAAACAAATACTAAAATATATGTTAGTGTTTAGTACACAAAAAACTATTATATATGTTAGGTTAATACACAAAACTAATATGTAAGTAAGTTGGTAATGCACAACAACTCATATATATGTTTGTGGTTCATACCCAAACACTGGTAGATATATAAGTGTTTATTAGACAAAACTAGTATATATGTTAGTGGTTAATACACAAAAACTAGTATATATGTCAGTGGTTAATACACAAAACTAGTATATATGTCAGTGGTTAATACACAAAACTAGTATATATGTTAGTGGTTAATACACAAAATTATTTTATATGTTTGTGGTTAATACACAAAACTAATATATATGTTAGTGGTTAATACACAAAAAATGGCATATATGTTAGTGGTTAATACACAAAAGCGGTAACTGTATTACCATGCAGTTGAATCAACAAAATAGAGACCACCTTGGTTACCATACTTTAGTTTGTATATTTCCCGTGTTAACACTCGTTGGAGAGAAGAAATCAAAATGCATTCTTAATTTAGAAAATGAATAAGTTAGAGACTACGTTAATCTAAATAAAACTAGGTTTATGTTTCTGCTTAACATCAGGCGAGTCTCGGAAATGACTAATTAATGATAAATGAATACAAATATAAACAGATGTGAGTGATAGGTATGTTATTATACTTTCTGGCACAAATAGGCACAGGCCGTTACTTTCTGACACTGACACCTATTCCACACATACCTGACCTCCCTGCAGGATCCAGCATGGCGGGCCTCGACGAATGTCATTCCATACTGATCTTTTGTATAATTCGACATTTAGTTTTGATTGTTTTTGCGGAAAACGAAGTGCGCTATAAAAACACTTTATTTAGCGCAATCAAATTTTAGCTCATTATCTCATCTCGGCATATAAGCGCATGATAAATTACCGTGTCGATAACAAATGTTATCAATAAACCATATTTAGACGATTAACGGAATATTAATGGAATGGAATATTTATTGAAACAGAGAAAAAAATTGGTTAGTATTCCCACTTGCAAAAAAGAAAAAGGTACTTAAATTTATTGAATAAATAATGCAAACACAAATTTAAAACATTTCATACTGTAATTGATTCGCAGAATCATTTGTTTTATTTTGAGGGTTCGTGCTTTTATTGTCTCACTTTTTGAATGTTAATTTATTTAATATATAAATTAATTTTAATTGAAGATCAATTGCTTGTTATCACATACAATTTAAAACAAACAAGGAGAAAACGCAAACAAAACTGAAATTTATTGTTTGTTGGTGTTAGGCAAAACAACTTTTGGTGTCTTGTGACAATAATTAAATAACACTATTGGCATTATATTTATTTGCATGCCAATTCCCTAGTGCGTTTCAGACTGAATAATACTGTTTTCTTGATGTCAAATCCATTACATAGAACAAACCACAGGCACTTTTTCTAGCTCATATAATAGAATTAGACGGCAGTAGACGTCACAGTAACTTGACCCTACTCTAGTTTTATACGTGACAAGCTGATGACCTCAGATTTCAAAGCCAGACCTTAGACACATTTTGTCCTTTGGTCTTTTTGTGACCTCATACAGTCACTCCTTCACTACTCCCCTTTTCATGCAATCCCCCTCCATGGTATCTCTTCAAAGAACACGGGATACCCGCCTATTGTGCGATAGTGTCTTTCTAATGGGTTAATTGGAAGCTGAGTCAGAAACAAACCATGTTGCTGTAGAACAGTCATAAGATAGGTTTCAGTAGTATTATCATTTCAACCTGACTGCTTTTCGCCATCATATTTCGCCGCTCTGTCGACAATTGGCCATTTACGAAAATATAGTATTTAATATCTTTCGGCGTGACTGAGTCCATCTGACACTGATCACAGAATAAGCCAGGCGCGAGATCGATCATTGATTACTGCCGGACAGCAGTGGTACATGCATGTGTTATGTACATTTACAGACTTTGTTTTATACAGAAAAACACAAAACAAATACATGTTAAAAATGCTCATATTTGACTTTAAAAGAAGCACATTATTTTTTACTTATTCAGTTATGTCGGCCTCATGATATCTGAAATTTCAAATAATTCATTTAATGTTATCGACACATAATATATCTGGAAATATGTTCGTAAAATAAAATAAGACTATCCCAGTCTTGTACCTATGTAGCCCTATATATCACTGCATGGGAGAGCAGTATTGTTTAAACTGTATTTTTAGAACATTAAGAGTATTCCGTTACTTCTCATTGTTTTTTTTACATTAGGTTTAGTGTAAATATGGATACTTATGTAATTTAATGTAATTTGGGATGAAAAGCTAGGTTTAAGTAAAAGGTAGCCATCTTAAAATTAATCATGATTGAAGAGAAAACCAATTCCCTTTGTCTAAAAGCTGTCGTTATGTAAGTAATTTCTGGTCTAAATTAGACATGGAATCTTTTTCCATAACAAAGTTGTCTCTATTTGTCTATATGAATGACTTTAGAATATTACCTTGTTAACAAATACCCGCACTTCTATTTTAGACTTATTTAGATTTTTTGAAAATTAACCTAGTCTCGTATCAGTAGAAACAAATTGCAAAGTTTGTTTTTTTTCTCTATTTTTCGTTGGAGAAATTATTTTCTTGGCATTTTTATGGAACATGATTATAGTATTTTTACAGAAAAAAGGAAACTGTCAATGTTGATTCATCAATCATTTAATGGCTCTAGTAAACGGTAATGGATGTCAGAAACAAGCCACGCAATGGACGAGAGATGAATCAACCGAATAAAATCGAGAAATTATCTTGGCAAATCTCTCCCATATGATTCTCAAAGAGGATCCAATGTGGCTGCCAAGATAGGTGCTGAGGAAACAGATCCGATTAGCCAGTATGTCATGTTTCTCGTAAATGTCAAATTATCAGCCAACATCTTCCACAGGAGAGTTCCTCGCAAGGGAGAGCATAAATAGGCTGCAGCAATTACGGATGTGTCAGAGTTTTTTTTCTAATCTCTAATTACTAACAAATTATTTAGCTTTCCGGCGCTTTCAGCATGTATTCGTATAATACAGCTATCCAGAAGTCTTCAAAGAATGAGGACATTCACAGGTTTGTACTAAAGGCCCAAGAACAAGTGATGTATGTGCAGCTGTATTTAATGTGCGGCAAAAACTGCATTGGTGTTACACAAACTGCCTGAAAGCTTCAAAGGATTTTATCCAATGGAACTAAAACAGGGTCTAAAGATGAACGAAATTGTTGGGAGCTTTATATTTATTGCTAAAACATTAAATGTGAGGTTATGTTGGTTGAGTATCAGGTAGCATATAGAGTCCTGTAGGCTGAACTACATGGAGACAGTCGTGTACAAATTTGATTGATTCTTGAAGCGTCAAACGTTTTAAATGTTTACGTTTTAGTGCTTATATCTAATATATACTGAATATGTCGTCTGAATGCATTGCGTTTCTCTTCAGATATCACCCACGTATTGGACGTGATAAGAATGATAATTTTCATCTCGTTTTTTAAAGAAACTATAGGCGATATCGGAACTTGATCACGTTGAAATCGCGTCTGATGGTGAAAATCAGTATTAGAATTACATTTTTCTTATCGAAAACATGATAATTTTAGTTATCTTTGTCCAACGTACACCGATGTTGGTCTCCTGATATTTTCTCCTTGCGACGCCTCATTTTTTTTTTTTTTTTAGAGAAAACCATTTTAAACAGATACATAAATATTCTAAGAGCATAGACAAGGATATATACTGCAGTCTCACCATGATTCACACATACAGATACACGTTCTCTCACACACACGTACATACAAACACACACATATGCACACAGTTTTTGAAATCCCTATAAATCTTTCTGTTTTTCATGTTTGTCTTTCATCGGTTTTGTTATTTTTCTTAGTATTTTCTCTGTTGTTCTTATACATTTATATACGTGTATTTATGCTCTGATTCTATCGCTGTATTTTTTGCATAACTTTGCATAAAAGCGATCTTATTACGCAGTTTTTGTATTTAATATAGCATGATAACTTCTATTTTACATGTATGTCTCATGAAAGCATTCATGATTCATAAACCATGGACATGGAACAATAAAAAATCGATATAAGCAATTATAAAAAAATACAGGAGTTGCTTTAACCCTTTTGACCCAATCAAACATAGATACATCACGTGTATTTATCTTAAGCAGATGTCATTGTTGTTGAAAGATTAAAGAAATTTTATTTGTCATTCAGACTGCATGTCGCTAGATAAGCTGCAACGTCATCTAAGAATCCTGCAGAAGACGGTATGAACTTATGTAGGAAGACTATTATCCTGGGCACCTACATGTATATATTATTTCGTAAAAATTCTGTTTATTGCAGACATGGACACGTGACCTCTGCATGATGGACTCTGATGGGGATGGATTGACCAATGGAGAAGAGTTAGGTGACCCAGACTGTGGTTGGACTCCGGGAAATCCCCCTATGAAGACCACAGGGCTATCACACCCAGGTAACGTGGATTGTTAGGTATCCTAAGTATTTTTATTAATGGTTCAGATCACTTAAGATACTGTGATCATTAAAAAGCAGTTTTTTTTTCGCGTGTGTGCCTAAAAAAAATAATGTACAGGATGGTTAAGTATGAAATGAAAAAAAGAAAACTTTTATTTGAAAGCAAACAATTAAAATTAAACGAGCAAATACGAAAGACCGGAAGTAGGAGACATAAAACTACATATCAGATGAATCAATGTCAGGACATAACATGAATGTGTCTGTTTATACTTTTTATAAAATCTTGAAATTGATGGATCACGTTTCTTTCTTGTTGGTCAGTATTAAATGGGACGCACAACACTTGTCAGTAAAATGTAATTGGATTGGGGTATGTGGGTATATCATGATACTCTATATTGAACTGTGGATCGTGCTACTCTATATTGGATTGTGGTGCAAGGGTGGATCACGATACATTATATTGGATTGAGAGACATAGGTTTATTGTACTAATCTTTATTGGATTGAGAGACATAGGTTTATTGTACTAATCTTTATTGGATTGAGAGACATAGGTGGATTGTACTAATCTTTATTGGATTGAGAGACATAGGTGGATTGTGCTAATCTATATTGGATTGAGAGACATAGGTTTATTGTACTAATCTTTATTGGATTGAGAGACATAGGTGGATTGTGCTAATCTATATTGGATTGAGAGACATAGGTGGATTGTGCTACTCTATATTGGATTGAGAGACATAGGTTTATTGTACTAATCTTTATTGGATTGAGAGACATAGGTGGATTGTGCTACTCTATATTGGATTGAGAGACATAGGTGGATTGTGCTACTCTATATTGGATTGAGAGACATAGGTGGATTGTGCTAATCTTTATTGGATTGAGAGACATAGGTGGATTGTGCTAATCTTTATTGGATTGAGAGACATAGGTGGATTGTGCTAATCTTTATTGGATTGAGAGACATAGGTGGATTGTGCTACTCTATATTGGATTGAGAGACATAGGTGGATTGTGCTAATCTTTATTGGATTGAGAGACATAGGTGGATTGTGCTACTCTATATTGGATTGAGAGACATAGGTGGATTGTGCTACTCTATATTGGATTGAGAGACATAGGTGAATTGTGCTACTCTATATTGGATTGAGAGACATAGGTGGATTGTGCTAATCTTTATTTGATTGGGAGACATTGGTTGATCACGCTACTCCCTATTGGTTTGGGGTGTGTGGCTACATCATGATTCTCTATATTGGATTGTGGTGCATGGATGAATCATGCTATTCTATATTGGATTTGGAGACATAGTTAGCTTATGCTACTCTGTATTAGATTTAGGTTAATTGGTGGACCATTCTACTGTATATTAGATTTTGGTGCATGGGTGGATCATGCTACACTACGTTAGATTGGGAGACATAGGTGGATTGTGTTTCCCTATATTGAATGATTGTGGTGCATGGGTGGATTACGCTACTCTCTTTTGGCTTGGGATGCGTGGCTACATCATGATTCACTAAATTGGATTGTGGTGCATGGATGGATCATGCAGCTCTATACTGGATTGGGAGACAGGAAATGCATCCTTGCTAGATAGTTCTATGAAAAAATGAAGTCAGTGCCTCCATGATATTCCCCAGGCAAACATTTTACTTTACTTCGTTGGCATCCTTTCTTACTAATGAGACAGCGGATAATCGTCAAAATATTGGACCACCTTCAAATATTTTATTAACAATTGCAACAGAAGAAAAAAGTACAAAGGAATAATGATATTTGTATATCACTGTTAACCTTACTTACTGTTGTAGACAAGCATTTGTACCCTTAGGTGATTCATCTATGTCACCTATTTCGCAAACATCGTAATGTTGATTTGTTAAAATTGACAAACCCGATTGGCCTTCAAAGGATTAACAAAATCTCAAACAAAAATCAGAGACAGTCAACGCTCATTGGATGTGTAATGCTCAGAGGGTATTAAGTAACAAGGTATAAAATGTCATTTAAAGTGAAAAGGAATGTTCTTCTCCAGAATATAACCAACACAATCATTGCTTTAGATTTTCAAATACCCATTAAACTTGTCGAATTAAAAATTAACTGTCAAGCTTGCGTGTTCTGAACACATTTGTTTACACTGATGGACGTCAGTGAGTCAAGATGAAGAAGCCCCTGTGGAAACTGACGTACACGCGTGTATACAATTTAATTTACAGTGTTGAACATCGAGGCTTGTCAAGACAAGATTAATCATTTCCGCTTACAATTCCATTAATCATTTGAAAAGAACACTAGAACTTTAATCTAAATATAACTGCACAACTTGACACCATTATTAAGGAAAAGACTGGTAATTCGACTGTGTATGTGCTAATCTGCAGATTTATTTTAATCTTAACAGATTTATATATAATGTTCAGTTGACTTGAAATGTACAGTGAAACTTTCACATTGTTATACGTTGTAACGACTGGCCTTCACCTTCACTGAGTGTTTTATTTTACATTCACCTTGACCGACTGTGACGTGTGAAGACCTAGAAGTCTCCTGACATTTTGACATGTTGATTGGTGAATTACAGGTCTCCGATAATGGGAATTCTATTGCAGAAATGTGTTTAGGTGGTTCCAAGAGACGGCTACTTCACACGATAACGCCTGAGTATGACAAACATCTTGTTAGATCTAAGTCACTTAAATGTATAAATCTAATCAAATTCACACAGACGCTTTATTGAAAATGACACCCTTCAATTGATGGTATGTATGTTGCCGTGGTGAACCTACCTGTTCTTTGTATGACGTAATTATCCTTAATATCAGGGCATTTGTTTGTTGATTTTCAGAGCGATTCACACATGACAGAATGAATATGTCAATCAAACACCACGAGTGTCTAATAAAATTATAATAAAAGAACCAATTATTTTCAAAATAATATTATTATACTGGTGTATTGATCCAATATCTTACTTTACTTTCTATCTTCTATTTAAATAATAAACGTTTGCTATAGAATAAATAAGTTAGTAAGTTAGAATCTGGCACTCCGTTTTTTGCCGACGTTGTGTTGGAATGTTTTCATTTCAAAGTTGAAAATAAAACATAGACACCTTCCATTACATCACCGAACATGCAGCGCACATGCTTAAAGAACATTAAGTTTATAATTATAGCGGGATATAAAGGCCTTTATATTTACGAATTGAAAGAAACTCCGTTGTCTGTTATAGTGTTGATTTATTGCTGATGTGTAAGCGTTAATCATTATCAGGAAACATTTAATTGAAGAACGACGTTAAAAGTTCTGCATTAATTTGTATTTTTTGTACCGATGTATCTTGCTTATCATTCGTACGATTTATATTTGTAAATATGAAACTACACGCCTCACTGACGTTATCTAGTCGTTACGTGTCTGATGCAAAGTAATGATTATATCAACTCGAAAACTTGGGCAACTTACCCCCTTAATAAGTCGTATTGGTTATGATGAAGATCCATGCTCTTATCATTGTACAGCGATCTGTCTAATATTGCCTCGAATGCGTGTGTAGGAGGCTTAGCCTTGTAACAAGCAGTTGATTAATGCATCTTAAGCGGATTATCCATTCATGTATATTTTTATTATATCACACAAAACGGTAATGCATTCAGCACATGCCTAATGCTTAGAGAAAAAGACGATGATTTGTATACTTCCTTTCATAAATGACTAGTTTTGCTGTCTGGGTCGTTCAATTCTCAAACAATTGAGAACATGCAATTCTTTCTTCTGGATACCTTCAGAGTATAGGAAAGGTCAGGTTCTGCAGAGTATCCCAAGCAGCTATTGATAAAACCTCCATTATACACAAATTATCATATCGGAGCCAACTCTAACGAACATTTATTTCATTGTATATTGTTCTTTAACGTAACAAATAAGTATGGACAATTAGATCAGAAACGTTAAAGAGTTCCTACAATTAACAATAACTGCTAATTCCAAAGTCTCATGAAAAATGGTGTAGCTACAGATGCTTGTTCGTAGATTTATTTTTGAATGACTTCTCGTTTTTCTCGTCACGTATTTTCTTATTTTTGTGATCAGTGTATGTTTTCCTATAGTTGAAATGTTGCTTCTTGATGATATCATTTTATACAGATACATTGGCAGTATAACGAATCCTAGTTTTCACGAATTTTGTTCCCAGATGCCTTTTTTTATTTATTTTTCTATTACATTTGGTTTTCTTTTCCAATTAGCTTTGAGTTTCGGTTTTTCCGTTTCTTAAAATAAAATTTCGTAATTTTGCGAGTTATCTGCAAAATTAGATTGATTTGCTAGAAGCACGACAGATTTTGTTTTACATTTAGTTAAGAGAAGAATCAAGCCTGTTTCATGTCTTTTCACGTTAACATGTGAACATCTGTATTAGACCATATGTTGTTTAAATGTTGTGTAAATGCCTTGTCGTAACAGACAACCCCGCATTTCTCCGGTTTTCCAGAACAACGTGTGTCTTTGTACATTCTTACAATATAACGATACACTTGGGGAAAAACTTTGAACGTATGACAACAGACTGTAAATATGTTGCAATATAAATCGACATGTCAAGTGCTCCTATGATACAAAAGGAAGAAAAAGATTACTTTTAGTAGGTTATGTAATCCATCTAGGATGGCGACACCACACGCCTGAATACCAGCAGGCCTACATTTACTATGACAGCTCATTGATTCCTTGATACATTTTATTTGATATAAAACCACCTTTGATTCAACAGCTGGTGAAACATCCCTGCTTCAGTTCTATTCATGTTTTGGCGTGCTTTAAATAATACATTATGTAACATTGGCCTTTCCATCGATTTGAGTAGGACTAGCTGAGAAATTGCGACAGATATGGTTGGGATTAAATCCTTTAGGACTGACTCGTCTGATCATCTAGGATAGGAGATACATACACGGAATCCACTCGTTTTAATGTAATCCTCGATCGAGTGCCTAAAACATGGCATCGGTCACGTAGGCCATCATCCAGATTCATGTTTCAGTTACTAGATCATTAGACCAGACCTAAACAAAGGTTAAAATTATATCGTTTCTATTTATACATCTTTTTATAAACAATGCAAGGACGCGAACCGAATGTAAATAATGTATAAAAATATTTACAAGAATGCATTGGTCCATATGTTGCCATGATAAAGCGGTTTACAGAATCCGTGTAAATTTCGTGTAAACCGGGCATTCATTCATTAGATTTACGCAATGGTGTTTAGGTGTGTATTTAAAGCAACTTAGTCTTAGGGACTTTGAAAAAAGAATATGATCGGAAGGGCTGATTTTAATATCTATTTCATATAATGCCATTCTTTCCACATTTCGTTGTATTTTACTTTTTATTAAGACAGAAGCTTTGTAACAAAATATCGCTGTATGCATCAAATGAATACATTATCAATTTTGTCATCTCCAAGAGTATGTTTCGAGCATACGTAGAGAGGGGAATCACAACATTCGAGGTATCCATTTTTAGGGAAAATATTTCTTTGATTCGCGTTAGAACGAAAAGAAGGCTGTTTTCATTTACTTACAACACGCAACTTTTTCTGTGATAATATATATTTCACTTTCTTGTTTGGCATAAGGAGTATCAGTAATATATCGTCACATCGCCAATGCAGTAAGACACTTCCACAACACGTTAACTCTGTAGCGCCATCTTTATATAGTTCTATATGAGAATGACGACAAACGACAGAAGAGAATAACTGACCATATTTGAAAGTGATACGACTTGATATAATCATTGTGTTCTTTTGTTGTCAAACACTTAGTACATCCATTGGTTCATTCTCACTCAGCCAACATATTAAAAAACATTATCTGTAGTGACGAGTATTTAACTAGACAAAAATAAGTATAGTCTATTTCAGTTCTTACAAACATAATTTACCTTGTCAACTAAGCATGGTGTTGGGAACTTGTGAGCAAAAAGTAAAGGCAAAGAAATAAAAAATTCTTGAATGAACATTTTCTTTTATATATATATATACATACCGTCCGAGGAACTTGGGAATTTGTATGACAAAAATTTTGATGCCGATGTTGAGGAGATGATACAGAAAATTCCAACCTTCATCAGCTGTATATCATCCCTGTACAGAAGGTGGTCAAAGGTCCACAGAAAATTACCAGCAACCCAAGGCGATATTAATCTGCAAGGAAGATTGAAGGAGAGATCGACTGGGAAATGTTTTCTTCTTTGTGACGATATTAATGCTATTATATGGTATTTGGGACGGACAACAACCAACAAAGATTAGCTGATTCATCACCACCTTTGGAGATGGGACATTCTATTCCTGCCTGGGACTATTCTGTCAACTGTACTCCATCTATGGGCATGTAGAGAGCAGTGTTTGCTCGTCAGTGTTTGCCCTTCTTCAGACATTTGTCAGATTGTTCGCCCTCCTCCAGGATGTCACGATACATAGATCTGTGATTCCATCCATGCTTTTAGATTTTGAAGTGAAAGCGAAGAGTACTTTGTGGAGAGTTTTCCTAGCAGTTTCAATTAAAGGGATATTTTTCCACTACTCACAATGTAGTTGGAGGAAGACCCAAGTCTGTGGACTTGCCATCCGATACAGAGAAGAGGAAAACATCCCACAACTAGTTCGCATGGCAGCAGTTTTGCTTATGGGTCCTCTTGACAAATTTACAGATGTGTGGTTCAAGGCCTTAGAGGACAATAGCGACATCAGCCAGAATGTTACCAACTTCACAGACTACGTGGCAGAGACTTTGGTTGGAGTTGACCGACAGAACTGGAATCATTTTTATCACAATTGAGCGCGTACAACAAATAACGTCGAAGGCTGGTACAGCCAACTTAACCAGATATGCAAGCGTCCACATCCAAACATTTTCCATGATGAAACTGCTGAAGGTAAAATGGAAGGTATAATGTTGAAAGTCAATATTTTTATCATGATTTACATAGATACATCTTAATATTGGTATAATAAAAATTATTCTAAGGTAAGTTGTTACCTGAAAACGTTCATAAAACAGATTTCAGCTTTACATGTAATTAGTACCCATTGTTCTCCCTCTGTCACAACATTACCTGTACGCTATACTAACGTAGGATAAGTTGGCTGAGTGGGAATACACCCATCCATGGTACGAGATCTGTACATGTGACATTAATCCTTCTCTTTCAAAACAGGCGATTCGGATCAAATCGACAAAAATGATGATTGTCAGAATACTTATATCCAGGTGTTCTTACGTTTTTTTAAACATACAAACATTGAGAAGTTATGCCTTAGACTTAGATAAACCACTTGCTGTAAGACTTCTATTTTGGGATCTGGCACAAATCCTTACCTACCGTGCCACTGGCATTCATATCACATGAGACACTCTATATTAATTTGACAGTGTTTTTTTTTTCTTTTCTTTACAGGTGTCTGTGAACCACTAAACAGTGAAATATGTCGGGAGAAGAACAAGTGGCTTGACTGTTCAGCGACAGGAAACAGTGACTGTCCAGCGTTTAGAGAGCCAGGTAAATTTTATTGCATGCATGCCTAAAAAAACGTCTTCCGTACTAGAAGCAAGCCTTATCTTAAAAAAAGAGGAGTGCCCGGAATATGAATTATCAATTACTTATATGATAGCTTATAGTTCAACTGCTTTTGATAACACTTATGTAATCCACGTAGTTAGAATAGCAAGGTTTCGTAACTTCCTGATACTGCAGTTAGTCAGCATGGCGTGGTGATAGGACAGATGGAAGTATGACCCAAACAGCTTATTGATATTTTGGCTCGTTGTATGTATTTTTGTTAAATTTAATGAAATAAGAAGTTTTGTCCTTCAGTATAAAAAAATTAAACCTTGACTGGAATGAGCTTAACTTTTTTCTTATTTGTTTAAAAATAGGCGTACAAAATGTGACCATAAGATTTCCAAGGACAGATGTCCCTCCCCACGTTACCAACTACTACTGTCAGATATTTGACCTGCCTGACGGCGATTTTCATCTCGTTGGGTCTCGCCCAATCATCGACAATCTGGAACTTACACACCATATTCTCCTCTTCGGCTGTGACGAGCGAGGTAAGGTTAAAACAAAGGGGTCAGGAATTACATATATGTCAAGTGATATATTAAAGTACTTACTCACTTTTATCAATAAGTCTCGAAGTTAATCGGTTCCTTAGCTGTTATTGTGGCACATCATTTTAAAATCAATAGCCTGAAGAAAGTAAGATTGTGTTCTCAGAACTAAAATGCTTTCTCAAAGCTCCATTTACATTTTATGTTTTACTGAAGTATAGAATCAATAGAAAATGATCGACAACCAAGCCTCTAACAGTAAAAAAAAATAATAATAATAGTCTACATGTATATATACCACTATCGTTTTTCAAACCTATAGTTACGTCATTAAGGCTATCTTAACAATTACTCACCAACATTATTATCAAGCACTACAAATTCATACATTGTTAATGAATTGATATTAGAGTTATGATCTTAATCCATACAATGATGAAGTGATGCATTGAAAGACTTGCATTTAATATATATATACTTTATGTACGTGTTAATGTACAGTATACTTTTCCTTTGCATTCTAATGCTGGATTTAGTTTGTGAAAATGTATGATGTTGAGGAGAGAACTTTGATATACATGTAGGCTTATGCCTGATGTTTAATTCAATTGTTCATCAATAAAAAAATACTGAAATGAAAGTTCATCCTACTGTAAATCTTAAATAAATACTGTATCTTAACCGATATAACTAATATAGGTAAACTCCTTTTAAGTATTATTATATAATAATTCCCTTCAGGTAAACTGATTTATTCCTCTCTATAACCACTATCTGATTACCTGCTTTTATATACAGTTTCCCTAACTCGTAAATTGAAATAATACCTTTAAAGGTAAAACTTTAATTGCGTGTTTCTAAAACGACATTTAAACATTTCGATAGCTTTTTGAAATATTTACATCATTTCATTGTTAAAAGTAAAATGTTATATTCAGACGTCAGTAGTTTCTTTTTTCAAAAATATTTCCTTGACTTATAAACATCATAAAAACACTGGTCATTTAAAAGAATGGTGTGGATATAGTAAATTACTGTTGGGTGGTGCGCTTAGGTTGGCTGTTATTTCCATCGCTCTTAATGTATGGGTGCACAGATATGATCACTACGACAAGTTCGCTTCATGTGTGTTTACTAATGACTTTATAGGCGAATCAAAAGGGACCAGAACTACATCTGATAAACCTCAGAACACAGAGTGGAGCAAACAACTTCTTAATCTATTTTTAATTTTTACTTACATAACCCTTCCTACTGCAGGGATCAACGGATATAGATACTTGTCTATAACAGGCGGCGTAAACAATATAGAATGAACAGGCATTCTGTGTGGGAGCCGTGTCTGGAAAACATTATCTATTGAAGAGAAGGATTCATTAAAGTTAAACATGTTAAAAGAAATTGTCTGCATGCTCTTAAATTCAGATCATTCTTTTTGAAAACGACTAATTGGTCTGCACTTTATTAGTTCAAACCTGTCCACAAAAATTATGTGTAACTCTATATAGCCATTTCCGGTCAATGTGAGATGATTCACCGATAACATTCGAACATGCGGTTTCAGTATCTCTGGTCCAACAGAATAGATGAGTTCTGGTCTATAGTGTTTGTCTTCCTGTTTGTACTGACATTACGGAAAACTGAAAGATTTCTGCTTTGTTGCTCTGCTCGGCATTCACATTAGAAACAAATCGATCACAAATCATAATTGTCTGTAAAATACGATGCCGGAGTTCAAAAAGGCTACTCTGTATGCAAGTGTAAACATATGTAAGTCAGAGTATACAAGTTTACGGAATTTGTTCCGTGTTGGTATGGATTTGTTGAGAATAAACCAACTTAAACCAATGAAAAGTACCTATATCCTAAATAACCACCAAATGCCCGTGTTGTGTTACAGACACTGTGTGCTACACATATTTTGTATAGCTTGTCACACCATTTCGACTTTTTATCGGCTTTTCTCGAACGTTAGTAAGGTATAAACGTGGTATTCTTAATCAATCACACAGTCAAATAACCCCCTGAAGTGCATTGCAATCATCGAGAGCTTACATGAGCCGTTGTCGATCGATGCCAGTGCATACATACAGTAATTCACTGAAGAAAGATCGGCTCCTATAATAATTTTCCCCTTTTTTTATTTGTTGTGTAATGTTGGTCTGGTCATCTGCACAAATGACTAACACACATGTGTTACAATCTTACATCAGCATGATAAAAGAATCTTTTTATTGCTATACAATTTTGGTATCATTCGAACTTAAGATGGAAGCCATTTTCATTTTTTTCTATTATGAGAAACAGTTCAAAGATTCGCTAATTGTTACCTTTGTAAAGAAGATGTTTATTGGTGTAAACTGTTTTGTGTATACAGAAGAAGAGGTGCCAGCTACACCCAATGCCTCCCAATGTGGCATGTTGGCCCATCCCAAATGTATTAACATCATAGGGACTTGGACTGTTGGGAGTTCCGGGGACTGTCTTCATGTCAATACCGGCTTCCGAATTGGAACAAGGGGATTCCGAAGAGCAGCGATGCAGGTAATTCCTTTGTGTGAATGAAATGTGCGTTAAAACGACTAGGGATTGATAAAATGTAAGTAAATTGAAATCTGATCGGCTTTATACGTCATTGTCGAATTCTTGTTGGCAAAATTTTGATATTAATGATCGATACGATTTGCTTTATTTCCGTTATTTATCATTGAAGATTCATTGGAATAATCAGAGGAGACAAGATGGCCATACCGATAGCTCTGGCTTGGTACTGTACTACACAGACAATCGCCGAACGTACGACGCCGCCATGTTTGCCGTTGGACAGGAATTCATTGAAATTCCTCCTCGTCAACCGGAAGTTGACTTTCATTCTTCCTGTTCTAGTGATTGTACAACGGCCATGTTCCCGACGCCTATTTATATCACCCGGGCTGTCAATCACATGCACTATATGGGCAAGTATCCAAAAGCATACACTAAAATGATACTTCACTTTCAAAAGAGTCATATATCACTTAAATTTTCAACAAAGGTCCATTATTAATTCTGCTGTCATGACTCTGTTACAGATAGCGTTATTCAATTTGTGACCAAAAAGATATTGCGCAAATGTTCACTAAAGCAATATTTAAAACGTCCAGTTTTTCTATCCTTCTTATGTTATCATGATTCATACAGTTGTAACTGTGAAAGTTTATAGTGTTGATTGCTGATATGATGCACCTTTTACATTTCAATCAATCTAGGTATAAAACAGAGAATTACACTGCACAGGAATGGTACGAAGATCCGGGACATCACATTTGATAATCCCTACCGATACGACAGTCCTGTCTTCTACAAGTATGTGCACAATCCGCTTAGTCGCAAATTCGTAATAAATTTTTGAAATGTTAGACCTGATTTATACAAAACAGTTACAGAAAAAATCAAAATTGGTTTATAGTCGTCAAACAACAATGTTTATTCCTTACATGTGATTTATGAATAAAATTGTTTGATGTCATGAAGTCTTGTGTTAATTTTGCAGGTACGACCCACCAATAGAAGTCCTTCCTGGAGATGAGATTCGGACTACTTGCACTTATTCATCTATCGACAAACAGAAGACGGTGTATTTCGGAGACGGAACTTCCGATGAAATGTGTTTCGGGTTTATGACTTATTATCCGAGACAAAATATCCCAATGCCATATTGTACGACATGGAAAAGTGTAGAAAAATGCAAGCGATATCTACCCCAATTTGGAGGAATTGTCAATGAATGTCCATGGAGGACATTTTTGAGTTCGAAAAATCCGGACACAAAACGTATTGTAGGGAATGTGCTCACACTATGCAACAATGAGTCACGTGACACGAAATGCTCCGATATCTGTACGGAAACCGTGGAGAAAAGCCGAGAGCACGTGTGTTTAAAGGGGGATTTAGGAGAACTGCTTATGTATAAATTCAGGATTAAATATCCAGAAGTTGTCAATTATTTTTTTAAGTGTAGACGAGAAGCAGAAATGAACGGCAGCAAAAATCTAATATCATTGTCATCATTGTATGTATTATCTGTTATTTTGTCATATCACGTGTATGTCTGAGGAGTATTGGAGAAAATAGTTATGTTTGTATTATGTGTACAAGTAGTTGATCTATTGAAAGAGTGGACGTGATTGTATGCAGAAGTCTGTGGATGTAATAGGTTTTTTGTTCGCGAAATTATATCACTTCTTAAAATGCAAATTCTTATTTTGGATTATTTCTTTTGTACTGGGAAATATAAACGTCCGTCAGTAGATAGTTTACATTATGGAACCTGACTTTACCGATATTGGACTTTAAGAACACCCTTAAATACATTGTCTTTGATGATCGACAACTAACAGATTTCTAACCCTGAGTTTTCTTGTGAGCAATTTCTTGCAAACAATTGAATGGTAAGATCAGGTTCATTGAAGTGTAGAAGGCAATATTATATGGTAGTTGTTTTTTTCCTATAGTTTACATCTATACAATTATACATTTTTTGAAATGATAAACCGAATATTGTAGGCAATGTGTATACAGAATATAACAGGGACAATATATCTTTAAGGAATATATTAAATTAACAGTATACATATAGTATAAAGACTTCTAGTTAGATGTTTGTTGTTAATGTGTTTGTCGTTCCACTTTTACACGTACTTATATACAATTTTGTCCAAAGATTTATATACACATGATCATAAGACAAAGCAATGACAAAATTTAAAAAAAAAACGGACTTGCAAAAGGCAAAAATGTGCAATTAAGAGTTCCAATATGATTCACGCAGGCAGTGGTTAAATTGGGCATCAACACATAAAACTGACAGGGAGTTGATAAAGATTGGATCAAGGTACACAAATTAACCGAATCTAAATACATGATGCAAATGACACAGGAAGTGAATAAAACATTGACTTTGGTAGGAATATTAACTAAATTAATACATTATACAGTTGACATTTTGTGAAAATCATACTTGAACAAGTGTTAACAAAGGAAGTTGATGTTATACGTGACGGAGGGAGTTGGTAAAAATTGTACGTCGGTACCACGTTTCATATTTTACACAGTCAACATAACACAGATAATTGGTATAAGTATAAGCTGGAGACTGACGTGGGAGATATGCATTATTGGGAGTAATATTATATGTTTCCTTGCACTATGGATGACCATGGAAGAAACACGAGAAGAGGTAGATAAAATACTTGAGGTAGATGACTGAAGTGTTAACGTTTAGTGAAGGTTTCCACGTGTAGTTGGATCGGCGAATGAGAAACACCACTTAAAGGTTGCCTCCGCTAACTTAATAAAATAAAGGTGAACTTTCAATTTTCATGCATAAATAGATAATGCTCTTAGATGTCAGTCCCTGTTTTTTTTATCCGTTTTGGACGATCATTGGACGAATGAGTGTCCTGTTTGAGCAGGATAATACTTTCCTAAATGCTTTACTTACCAAAACGAGACTACATTGACAAAACGAGTGTACCAACCTGTGAGAGAGCAGTGACAAAGTCGATTCAAAATGATCGTGATTGTCAACCATTATAGCGAGATAGTGAGACGACTCTTTTAATTATAAGTCTGCATATACTTTAACTATGGTACAAGACTCGGCTGACATCTTCTTCCACGGTGACCACATTTTATGGTGGGACATCACATTACGGACATATATATATATATATATATATATATATATATATGAAGCTTAGGTTTCTCTAAACATTTGTTACGATAATAAATATATCATATGAGTATAAGTGTTGTTAGCATTGTAATAGTGTTTTAAGATTGCAATTTAAAATGAGAAACTTCTTAGAAATTATCTTTCCTAATGATATGATATCTTTTTAAACGGAGAGGTTACAAAAGGACATTATTTCATCCACCTTCAAATATTTGATAATATCAAAGAGATAAGTCACGAGTCGGTGACAATGATGGCACTACAGTTATTACAATACACCTATCTGAGATGTACATAAAAGTTAACTTTGTGCCCTCAGATAATAACAAATATTATTTTACGTGTCCGTTTATTTATTTGTAGATACCTATTTCTAATGTATTTTAGTGTAAACTTCATTAGATCTGCGTTTGTTGGTTTTTATATACCGCGATATAAATGGATTTTCTTCATTTTTTATATTTAGATGTATTTATTTCTTGTAATTTTTTCTATAGTCGTGATGAGCCGGAGGCGGAGTTTGTTATTACACACATTGTTGCGACACTCGCAGTAATAGAGATAAGTCCTCGTTTATGTCATGTTCAGCTAATAAACCAAATGAATGACATAGAGAGAAAACAACAATGAATAAAATGGTGTAAGGAAATTATTCTTCATATTCAAATGCGATAGATCTTCGATTGATAATTAAAAAAAAAGAAAATCCTGTGAATTGTGTGGTGTTTACAACCTTAATACATCGCCGTGTACTTAAAGTGATGATGAATTGCTTTGATCAGCTGTCATAGCAAGATTTTTAATTGCTCTCATGATCTAATATGGGTTTGATAATAACGGAAAGTTTTACTTTGATAAATGTACATTTATAATCAGTCCTTTTATATCGATGATTGAATTTTTTTTAAGAAACTGAATTGTAATGTATAGTAAGTAGACATTCCAATACTAAAACAATGATACAATGAGCTTTTTGTGTTGTGTTAATGTAAGGCATGGTATCTAATTTTAAATGTAAGATATTTACGCAGAGATCAGTGTTTGTTGTTTTTCCCCGTCACAGTGTATAATAGAGGATGTGTCGCATCGTGTGAGACAAAACATTTTCTGTCACTGAAAGTACAATATTCAAGTTATACTACAATGTTCAAAGCGGAGGATATTTTTGGACGATAATGGAGAAGACGGCATTCTTACCCCTAGTTGGATACCATTTACCAAATTAACATATATCAAATTATTTGCTTTTCAAAGATATTATTCATCTTCTTGTAGATATGTCATGGTATATAAAATCAACTTTGACAGAAAAAATGATTAGAAATTAAGGCAGCACCGATTGAGAAAATTCATTTCTGGTGAAGGAGGCAAAATTCTACAGGTGTGGCCCCTTGTTACCACCACCAATCCCCGATAACTATTCCCCAGACTGATAGAATGACGGATGTTGTGACATTCAATAAGCTGCAGATGCTGGAGTAGTTTAAAGTTGGCGGGAGAGTGAGTGTATGATATGTATCCCGGACATGTAGTTGGCAACAATCTCTATGGTAATAGCTATGAAGAAAGCTATATATATGTTTCTTTTACCGAAACACAAACCAACTCTACAGGGTACAGTTTTATTAGTGTGAGAAGTTATGTTTTGTTGCAAGGAATAACATTTTATTGGAAAACACATTCTTGGTAGATTTAATCACTTTGTCGAGGGAAATTGTTTGTAAATTGTTGTAGTTGAGAGATATAATTTCGTGATATCTTTCCTTGGTGAGGTATAATTTCGTTGTACCTAGCTACAAACGTTTTGTTTTAATGAATAGGTTTTCTTTATGATATTTAATTTGTGGTTTGTATTTTTGAAGTGAATCTTTTGCTGAATCAGGCATGTTACATTGTTTGTAGAGATGTGCATTATTATGTATTATGGAGAAATAGGCGGGTGATGATGGTCTCCTGTAGTTAACAAGGACATATTACCTTTTTACTGCCACCTTAGCTACTCTTAGCTACTATATTGTATGTACTTTAATGTTGTACAATAATCCACATTGTTCTCAACTTGCAGGAACTTAATATAAGTATTAGTGCATTGATCACAGAAATGATAACGAAATTATTATCAACAGAAACCATCAACAATGAGAACAAAGAACGCCTTCCGAGAGTCAAGGAACATTTTTATAGATTTAGTAGAATGATATCATTAGAATGACAAAGTCACTGAAAACTCTTTAAAATGCATACAAGTATTCACACACAACGTCTAAGAAAAACACATTAAAAGTGTAATTTCAGGTTAAATGTAAAATATTTATTAAAAAGAAAACTTTTTAGAAAGAATATAATTTTTTTAATAATAAGACTATCATCTATAGACATGTTAACACGCTTGATATGTGTCATTAGCAACGAAAATAGCATAGAAGCTAGATGACTTCGAAAAATATGTGCATGTAGAGGCGTGCACCAAACACGTCCACAAACAATGTCCACAAACATAATTTACAGACGTACACCAAATATGTCCACAAACATAATTTACAGACGTACACCAAAAATGTCCACAAACATAATTTACAGACGTACACCAAAAATGTCCACAAACATAATTTACAGACGTACACCAAAAATGTCCACAAACATAATTTACAGACGTACACCAAAAATGTCCACAAACATAATTTACAGACGTACACCAAAAATGTCCACAAACATAATTTACAGACGTACACCAAAAATGTCCACAAACATAATTTACAGACGTACACCAAAAATGTCCACAAACTTAATTTACAGACGTACACCAAAAATGTCCACAAACGTAATTTACAGACGTACACCAAAAATGTCCACAAACATAATTTACAGACGTACACCAAAAATGTCCACACACATAATTTACAGACGTACACCAAAATTATACACACACATAATTTACAGACGTACATCAAAAATGTCCACAAACATCATTTAAAAAATATGGCAATTAATTTTTGCGACTGAATTAATATATGAATAGGAATGGCAAATTCACAATTTACGTACATACCTTAAATGTTTATAGGAGACCTATATTACACCAACAAAATACGATTTTGCCTCTGGGTTGAACAATAAACTAAATAATATGCTTTATACTGATAACTGATATAAATAAAATATACAAATGATGTAATATTAATTTATTTCCATTCTTCATGGAGTTTAAGATGTATTAGCCAATTTATCGTTGGTAAAATCTGCAACACATCCGAAGGGAGATAACTCTATATTATTTGCAGTTAAAACAAAGTTTGTCTGTTGGCATGATTTATCGCCCCGCAATCTTTTTGATATGGAGTCTTCTTACAGTAGCTGGTGGCTACTACCCTGAACAACATAAGGAAGATCCATCTCATGCAATATAATAATCACAACAAATAGGACAAAACCACAACTGCACAGAGTGCAGTTTTAATGTCACATGATCAAGGCTTGGCGACACATAGAAGCACAGTGTAGTTAACTGCAAGTTTTCTTCGATTCCGTTACCTCTTTGTATATTTAGCCGATCTGAAACGTTATTTTCTTATCGTATAAAACATCACATCTTTAACCAAGACCTATGTCTGAGTGCTATATACTGGTTATATATGGGATTTCCAGTTAAATGTTTTAAGAAATCTGGAGAAAAATACCTGTAAACTTTGGAATTTCGACTCATTGTCTTTTCTTATTTCAATATCATCAAAGATCGCATAGAGCTTTTTTTTTTTTTTACACCAAACAGTCTTGATCAATTCGTTTTAGCTAAAGATCTTTTAAATGACTCATCAGTACTTGCTGTGATTGAATAATACAATTAAAATGTCAAATCAATATGAAATATGTCCTGCCAACTATTCTGTCCTATAATTACAAGGGATCAAAGATGCTGATACTGTGTGCAGTTTCTAGGAAAATCCACTTTTTTATTGTGGATTTATTGTCGATAGAGGTACATTAACATCTACATTACTGTACATGTTTCCATGAGGAAAAAGTATCATATGTTTTTTGCAGGATGAAAATATGATATTGACAAAATTCAACAAAGCCTTTTGTTCCATGATGCTTTCTATCTCATCACTACCGAAAATGTGTAAAGGAAGTCTACAAGAAGCATCCCTTTTTATCAATATGTAACAAATCATTAGTACATTGTAAATGTAAATTGAGGATTACTGATACAGGAACTTGATAAGACTTTACTTCTATATATTCCGAAGAGCGTTCAGAAATAATTCTATCAATACATTTGCCTGACAACAGATAACCGACATTAAACATAACAAGAAATTTGTGTCTTTTGACAAGTCTGTATTTTCTATGTTGTATTCAACTCGTGATATTTACTAATCTTATTTGTGAGGTTATTCACGTTTTCACTCTTTCATTTGAAATGTTTTGGCTAATAAACCTTAAATCAACAAAATACACGGATATCAATTATAATAGATAAACGGAAAATAACTATACATGTATACTATCTTCCGATGTTAACAGGTAAAATATTGTTGGTGGAACAAATAGCAATATAAGGGTCTCTTTTTACAGATTTTATCTTCCGATTTTGAGCGAATTTTTTTTTTCATTGCCGGTGACTTTTAAATTGCTCGAAAAAAGGATACATATCGTATAGTAAATACAAACTGGTATCAAATAAACATGTTTCTGATACATTAAAAAAACTTTGTGAAGTTCCACGTTAGATGATAACTTCAAAATTTTCAACTGTCTATATATGCAGTGTCAACGAAACGAATCTATAGTGAAATACATCTTTTGTAGATTTGTAGAGTCCAATGGTGTTGATGTTGTTGATTTTAGTGTAGTGATGCCACTGAAATCCAACTTGTAGTTTTCATGTTTACTTTCGAATGTATAAACACGTATATTTACAAAGTGCATACACCGATTTACAAATTACATTCTAACAGGCAAGGCCCGAGTGAGCGGGCGTCCCGCCAGTGGATACTTGCCTCTCTCCTCCGTCTCTCCCGTGGGCATCCCCTATTCTAGCAGATCAAGAGGGCTCTATTTATACCAAACGTTTAACATAACATCTGGTTGTAAGATGACATAAGTACTGTTTTTTTATTGACCTTGCATGATCCATGTATATCAACTTAGAACATACGACCAGACTTACGACGGTTACCTGATCGACCATGTGAATGTAATGTTTAAAATTTCGAAGAATATTTTAAGTAGAATAAAACATATAAAAATACAGTTCAACGTTATAGTTACAGGACAAAGACATTTATCGAAATTTCTGCTAAATATTACTAGAGAACATTACCACAGCTTACTGAGAAGAAAGGACCAGCGAAAGAGAAGGGAAAAGACTGCAAGAATATGAACGTCTGAATGGAATTCACAGGCATTGAGAAAGATGATGACGTGAATGGAATTTAAATGTAAAAAGATACAGAGATATGTGAAACAATTGCGATAAAAAGATATATATATATAGTATCATTCATTATATATGTAAGTGGATGTTGGAGTATGTCCTCCTGTCTTTTCTTTCGTTCTTTCTTTACTTTACTTTAAAATATTCAAACAGTCTAACTTTCAACCAAGAACATTATTCAAACCTGCAGAACTCAGGTTTTCTTTTAGTTCCAATATGTCTGTGAAAATGTCTAATGTCTTGTGTAAGATGCAAGGGAAACTCGGGTTAACAATATTTAAATATGCAGGAATATGTGTTAAACATATCAATTATCTATTGTAAAGATCACCGGCTGAATCATGTGTTTTGAAATATCTTCCAGCCGATTTTACTAACATGGAATGGTAACAAATGTTAAATACAATACACAGGTGTATGAACCGAAACCTAAGTATCTGATGAACCATGCCCAAAATCATCTGTAATATTTGTTGCTGTTGCTCTCTCTCTCTCTCTCTCTCTCTCTCTCTCTCTCTCTCTCTCTCTCTCTCTCTCTCTCTCTCTCTCTCTCTCTCTCTCTCTCTCTCTCTCTCTCTCCTCTCTCTCTCTCTCT